TAAACGAAACAGGATTAACCCCTTATGAAAAAATAAGAAAATACAACACCTTGCTACAGAGATATCTCACCTTACTCAAACAAGACGGGAATGAGGAACGACATATTACTTTAACACAGGGTTGGTAAAAGGAGAAGAAAAGGATGGCGCGTCCGATGATAAAATAAAGAACGAGGTACTTCATAACATTCCTGCGCGCAGCCGTAAGAATGCCGAGTACATTATGAGTAAATTAATCACGAGTACAGCTGGATGGACACCCGCGGGGAATTTGTAGAAAAAGGGACAGCTGTAAAAGGTTCACACATGTTAGATTTATTTAAACATTTATCCTGTTCGTATAAAACAAATGCCCGGGAACCTAAAGGCTGGCGGAGTTTTTTAAATAGTCTGAATGAGCTCAACATTCCTTTATCAGCTTTTCAAAACCTGCACGCTCGTGAACAATATCGTATAATCAAAGAGGGCGAGCCAAATGGAGAAAATATACCCAAAAAAAGAAGAAGGATTAGTAAATCATCTCCTACGACCCCCCGATGGGGGGTGGCAGGGGGGCCAGACACCACAGAGGAGGGAGAACCTCTGAGTGCCCTGCTTAAGAAGAAAAGGATAAGGAAGGACAGAATATTAAGTCCAAGATGGTTACATTTAACCTCTTAAAGTTGTATTATATATTTTATTTTCCTAATAAAGACAGAGTCACCTGAATTAATTTTGTCTTCAGACCTTTTTTATTTCTACATTTTATAACAATCTTTAAACATTTGTAGAGAACAAACACTGTGGTTAAAATGAGTGTCTTTATGACGTCTCTCACCCCGTTGGTATTTTTTCACAAAATTCGTTACAGCAGCATCATTTGTTACCACATCATCTTGATACAGAGATAACACATTTTCGTAAGACAACCCGGACGCTCTTTTGCATAGATAAAAAACACAGTGTTGACCACAGGCTGTAGACATGACATTCTGAAGTTGCTGGTTATGGTATACAATAGTTTTACATTGTTTTTCTAGAAAATGTAGGATGCTTTTCGGGTAATGACTGAAATCGGGGGGGGGAAATCCGAAAGAATCAAAAAAAGTTCCAACCCCTTCCTCTTCCTCTAAAGTCACTGCTAGCCAGTGTTCTCCGGGCATGTGGGAGGGGTGGGTGTTTACAATATGTTTACAAAAGCAAATACAGACATCACACGACGTAGCTTTAGGTAGCAAAACACGGAGATATGCTCACCTTTTGCTGTTATTCTGATCAAAAACGAGAAAAACGCGGCTGAAGGTTAATCCATAGGTTAATCCAATGTGTCTGTCACTTTGAAAAAACTTAGTTTTCATATTAGCTGCTAATGATAGCTTCCAGAGTGTATGACAGCTTCCTGTTTTGTCTCCTTTGATACGAGTCCAAACAACTCACAGACTGCACCGGGCGCTGACATAGGCGCCCTGTGACCATCAGATTTGACGACGCTGATTGGCTGAAATTATGTTTCGGCGGCATAGTTTAAAGATAGCAACAGTTGGCTTCTGCTGCACTTGCTGCACTCTCGTCTCGCAGTGCATAGCGCACAGATGAGAGAGGGTAATGATACACGGGCAAGGCCAGGCAGGAAACATGTGACTTATCAGTAACTTTAGACATCGTAACACAATTTTAAACGAGATTGTATTGTAGATTATACATTTTACTGATAGCAATTATATAATATTTACCTTGTTTATTAAAAATAAAAATATAAAATATATTTTTTAAATATATATTTATTTATTTTTAATGTGGGAAGAGGGGGGGGGGGCGGCCCCCCTAGCACCCCTATGGGCCGGCCGCCACTGGTATGTGTATTCACCAGGTATTCACTCTGTCCTAAACGGCTTGTCGGAGCTCCTGCCCCCCCCCCCCCCCCCCCCCCCCCCCTCCCTATGAGCCCAGTGTGCTCTGATTGGTCGGGACGTTGCGAGGCTCGTTGCGAGCTGCTGCGAGGAGCGGACAGGTTTCCGGGTCGGCGATACAGCGAGAACAAACAAAACTCATCCTGAGCACACACAAACACTCACAGCCGAAATAAAAACAATAATGGCGCATTTCCACTACAGGGCGTCGCTCGGTATGGCTAGGCCTCGTTAGGTAAGGTGACCAGATTTTCAAAATGAAAACCGGGGACATTTTGAGTTTTGCGGTCAATATATCATTAACATATCCAATTTTCTTCACTGTTAAAGAAAAAAGGGGGACAATTCTGGTTTAATGTAATTCGAACATTTGAACTGTTGGATACAAACAGAAGGAAGATAGCTCATATATGAGACTTCAAAGGTCTTTTATTTAGAAACTGTACATCAGATTGTCCAGATTCTCTCTGTGTGACTAGATGGGGTGTCCTGCTATCACCCTGAAGTGACATAAGTATTTGATTGACTTTGAGTGACTCTTTGATTATGGACGGTTTTCCATTAAATAATAATCAAAATATAGATGGACATAGATCTAATTTGAGATTTTAAACAGCATACATTTTAAATTGTGCTTCAGAAAGTAATGTTATTTTAGGAGTGTTGTGAGATGGTGTCAACATCAATTGAAATTAGTCACCCAGTGGAAATGTCAGATATGTCTTCATATATGTATGTGTAGCCTACTTACATTTTACATTCACTCAGTTATAATGTGGTAGTTATACGTAGTTTGTTTTAAATTATTATTGATCATGTGACAGTGACAAGTTTTACAAATAAAGTATGGCCAAAAATTATTTTACTGAAATATAAACAAGTGAAGTTATACATCGGTTACAATCACATTATATAGTACATATTTCTTAATTTAAGCTCCAGTATATATGAATATGTGTGGTGTGTTTTTTAGGTATATTTGTTATTGACCGAGTAAACGCTTTTATTTTGAAGGCAGTTTTTACAGGCCTCTACCGTAATCCATAGGATATTCACGCACCGCAATACAACGTGCAGGCTGGCTTGACTGTTTTTTCCGAAGTGGGGGCTGGCTTGACCACAGTCTGTTTACCCAGTGTTTCCTGACATGAAACGTTTTATTTCACCTTGCTATGTGATTTTAATGTATATTAAAAAAACGGGGACATTTCCGGGGACAGTTTCAACCGGGGACAGGCCAATACAAACGGGGACTGTCCCCGGAAAACGCGGACGTCTGGTCACCCTATCGTTAGGCCTTGTTAGGACTGGCTCACTTTATGCTGCGTTTCCATTGCAGTTTAGTAGCTGGGGCAGTAACTATAGTAACGCAGTGTAGGCGGAGCCGTGACGTAATCTTCAATGAGAACCACAGAAAAACAACACAGCCGTTAGCTGTTAGCCCTCAGAGATCACAGCTCCTCATATCTGTTCAGAAACTAGACACAAGTTAAACAAGTACAAACCACAGACTGTCTGTGTCATGGTGAATACAGTCGCTGGTTATTTATGTCTGTATAGGCCGTTGTTGTGAGTGTGGACGATCGGAGCATATACTGCGTTAGCTTAGGTTTTTCGCCTGCCGTCTGTCTGCAGACTTGTCAAAGCATTAATTCATGGTTTTTACTAACCAGTATCAGTATCTTGTTACTTCGGCATCATTTTGAAACGTGTATTACAATTAAATCACGGTCAAATATGTTCATTTTGTTGTAGTTGTAGCCCCCTTGCCAGCGATTCTCTCTCTAGTTTAGCATACTCAGCCCGACTCAGCCTGGTTGTTGGCCCGGAAAGAACCTCGATTTTATGGGGCCAGAAAAACTGTGAAAAAGTACCCACTAGCCGGAACTACGCCAAGTGGAAAATGGGCCAGGCACGGCACGCTTAGAGCGAGCTCCATGCTGTAGTGTAAATGCGCCATTAGTGTGGCTTGATATTGAGTAAGAAAAAGGTTTATAACGCTGTGAGAATGGGTCTGCAGAGAGCATTTCTCCACTATCCCAACTCCTCTATTACCAGCGTTCAGGGAGCTCTATGCAAGTCAATGGGGACTCCCTGTTAGTTAGCCAAGGGATCCTGGTGTGTGAGGTGCTCCGCGGATTGGTCCATTTGGGCCAATCCGGTCATTTGTTGTTGATCTGGGTGTTCACACGTCAGAGAACCCAGGAAGAAAACAATGGAAAAAGAGAAATGTCCAACGAGGCGTTCTGGGGCAGCAGAGACAGGTTTTTTCTGTGTTAGAGTTGTACTCGCTACAGGGTGTATTGTGAGGGTGTGTGACTCTGCAGACCGTTTACATGCATAAAAACCTTCATAACACACAAGGGGACGGGTAATAACCGGAAAAGCATGACATGACATTTAAGATGATTTAATGCCAATGAAATGATTATTTAAAATGGTAATGGGGAATTGACAGAATTTATATACAGCTTTCCAAGTCTTTGCGCTTTCAAAACACAAGTCATCATTCATCATTGACACACAGAATTACATGTACATTGGTGGCATTATGTTGCCATACAAGGTGCCTTGCTTCGTTTTTCAGCAGCTATACACTTTAACAAACTGTGATCTCTGCAACACGAACAATTTGGGGTTGGGTAACTTGCCAAAGACCACTTTGAAGACCACAGGAGCAAGGGATCGAACAATCAACCGTGCGATTGGTGGACAACAACTTTACCTTCTGAGCCACATCCGCCCCACCACATTTAATGAATACTAATAGATTCTGAAAGACATTTGAATGCCATTTTGGCTACTTATTAATATGATTTATTTTATAGTGTTAAACATTTTCTCAAATAACTGAGACCATGTATTGCCTCGTTTGGCGTTGAGCTACCAGAGCCTTGAGTCTGGTTACAGTTCTTGACCCTTGATCATCTGATATGGCGGTATCAGCGATCAGGTATCAAACCCAAAGATGAGTCCAAAATATGTCAATGCAAGGATAGAGCTCCTATCGCACAAAAAAAATGCCATTTATGTGTTCTTGGTGCATTTGGGAGCCTTTATAATGACATTCACTAGGTGGGGATATGCACAAAATGTACACAAAATAGTAACTGAATTTTTCATTTTTTTAATATCATCCCAACTCAAGTACATCAAACGTATACATCTATTAGTCATACATCCAAACAACTATGAAACATGTCAGCAGATTAAATTATACATATTTTTTGTCTCATGACAAAGGGCGAATACATCTTTATCATTCACTTATTTGTCTGGACTTGGTCCACTCCTCCACAGACGTTTGGAAGTGAGCTGATATTCATGCCAATATCATGTTAATTTATGGAAACTAAATCAGGACACAAGAAATAACATTTAGAAAATGAAGGCACAGCCAAAGCAGTGGAGTCATCTTGACGTCAATGCTTTGGGTTTTTTTTTTTTTTTTTTTGGAATGCATAATAGAGAGAATTCTTGTGGTTGGGAGAACAAACATAATAAATATTGTTAAAAACAATATTTATTGTTGCAAATTATAAAACTTACAAAGTGTGATTTCTTTCTTTTATAAATTGTATACAAAATCATTTAATTTTGCAGTCCAAACTAATTCATTGTTAGAGAGAATGAAAACGTAATAATGGTGAAATTAAAATCAGAATAATACTGTTAATTAAAAAAACTGCTGGCTTCGGTTGGAATATCAAGACTGTCTTAAGTGTGTGTGTTGGTGTAAATTAGTATCACAGTGTTCCACCCATTCTAGGTTTAGAAAATACATCTTCAGCAATAATATCAATACTAATGTCTGCACTTAAATGATGTTACCCTACATTATAAAGCGGTTTTATCTGGGTATAATTAAAGGCACACACTTCAAGTAATTTCAGGTATGAAGGAAAAGGATTCAACTCTATGCATCATGAATACATTACACATTTGCATGTCCTTGAAAACATGTTAATAAAAACTGAGAACCAATAAAATGTCTTGAAACGTGATTGTGAAGGTCAGCATATGGGATGTAGCACTGAAAAACATTCCCCCTGTGTCAAATAATGTCTAAGGCAATGTCACATTTCTACCTGACATTCAAAAAAAGGAAAATGTCATGGTTCTTGCATATAGAATTCCATATTTTAACTTCTGAAATGTTGCTTTATATTATATTGTATTATGATTCTGATTTATACAAATTACAAAAATATGCAAAAGATCTGAAATATATTTTCTGTTGGTTAAAAACAAAACAATAGTTTAAAGTAATCCATCTTCTATATGCTTTAAATAATGGAGGTATTTCCGAGTATGATTGTACAGACATGTTTAAAGTGCTACACTGGGTCTGCCATTTACTTCACATACAATTGCAACTCCAGCAATGTATATTGGTAGACCAACGCAACTGTCTAAATGTAGGAGAACATTTGTATTATTGCATTTCATATGGACTTTCCATGAACTGAAGACTACTCTTTGGAAACATGTGACAATGGTTTGGCACTGAACATAGTAAGCCACATGGCTGACTCAAAACATCACCTATCTTCTAATACAATAAAAATGGATAACTAAAATGCTAAAAAGGGGTCGGTCAAGAATTCTGTGATTCCAAAAAACATGATAACAGTGAAACAATTAAGCAAATGAATCACATACTGGCACAGACAACAACCTGAAGTATGAACAGAAAGGCACCAACAAAAATGTTTAAACACATGTGGTTCCGTGTGTTGATAGTCATCCTACAGTAGAACTTATTGAGATAATACTAAGCAGACACCTTATAGCTCATCCGAGAACATGGAGTCAACCTATCCTGACAGTCATGACTGCTGGAGACATGATTACTGTGACTGAACACAAACTGTGTACTGTATTTTAAAAATTAAACTTGAGTTTTGATGCTTTACATTGTTATGTATAACATACTGCTCCTTTCTCATAGATGGCATGACTTTCCTAATTCATTTAATGGGCAGCATATTGGTCTTGGTTATGTCAATGAATGTGAATTATTTGTACTGGCCAAGCATTATGCCAAGGATTTACCAATGACATTATGGCAAGTAATGTATTAGAGCAACTAGGAACCAATCTAAAATAATTTTTTAAGCACACATCTTATTCTCAACAAGATCATCTCAACCTCCTTTTTACTGCTATATATATATATATATAATATACATATATATATATATATAGCAAAGCTGTGTGTTAAGATCCGAGCAAAGATGGTGTCTCATGGTGCCAGAGTGCCATATATATATATATATGTGTGTATATATATATTTATACACACACATATACAGTACATATTCACATTCATACATACCTTTGCTTTTGTCCACACTAAAGCAGCTAGAAGGAAACTAATTACATTGAACCAATGCATGTAAAGACACAAGACCACACTTATTGAGATTTTAAAGGCTCCATTTTCACTATGAAAATAACACAACTTGTTAACATAATTTACATAATTATCTATTAACTACCTGATTTTTTGTCAAACAGAATCACTTTGGAACAGCTCATTGTGCAAGAGAGTGAATCACTCTTATCTTCAAACTGCACACATATAACTTTTTTCTCACAAACACATATCTGAAAGTGTACACCTGTTATAAGAAGAAAGTATCATAAGGCCGTCTCCTGAACCATATGAGTGGTCAGCTGACATGAGGGCAGAGCCATCCTTATTTCCAAGTCTTCCTGCTCTGTTTGTGCTCTGTCACTCTCCGTCTCTTTGTCCTCTGTGACGGTATCCTCTTTGCATTGAGCTGCTTTGTTGCCATCTTTCTTGGCCCTCTGATAAGGCAAGGTTTTTCTTTCTTTGGCCTGACCAACAATGATTAAGCATTATTAAAAGTACAGCTTACAGTTAACAAACAGAGAAAACACTTGAGTGTAAATGTGAGGTTACCTTATGTGGATTGGGCAGAGGAGTTACACAGCAAAGCTTTTCTCTGTAGCGTTCAGGCAGGAAGAAGAGCAGTGTGCCCATCACTGGAAACACTGTGCCTGGCATCAGATCCTTCTCCTTCATAGGGCCTAAAGTTTTAGAGAAACACCAGTATAGTAATGATGAGGTATTCAAACAAAGGGCCAATTTATTTGAGAGAATGCTGCAAAGTGACACAATTAACATGCTGGTGCCTCTGACATATAAATAAAAACCAAAGGCTTAATTAGAAGCACACAACTACCTGTATGCTTGATCTGGGACAACGTCAGTGTTTCAGAACTTGCCTGACAATCCTCCAACTTTTAAGATTTATGTTGTAAAAAAGTGATATAGCAAGAATTGTTACATCCATAGCTACAACAACTAAGTAAACTTAACTCTGAATAATTCATTCCACAAACGTAATTTCCTAAAATGTAAAGGAACACATTCCGACACGATGTTTCCATGGCAACATTTTCACTCCTGTTTCTAATACAAGTTCAATGTTCACACAAAAATGTGTCACAATTGCACAATTGGGACCCAAAAAATGTATTCAAATTTGGTCTGTGGTCATTATTTAATTTTATATTTTTTAGTTAAGCACTAAATTAAAAAGGTAAGAAAAAGCTAATTGTTTTTTCTTTTTCTTCTCAATTGAAAAGATCACAAATGCACTGCCATTAAATGTATACTCTCTACACTGTTCGATACATCAAACTGCTAACACCTTCAGTCATTTACTTAAGTTATGACTGTGGCTTTCGGCCAGGTGAGGATGTTGTCAGGTGTCCAAACCCACCCGCTCGTTTTAAGACAGTTGTTTTAAGTTGCGGACACATCAATATAAATATATATAATATATATATATATATATATATATAAAAGACAAGTGGATTTTGCATAATAGGGGACCTTTAAGATGTGAGTCTTTTTATACAGTACAGTGTTACTTGATTGTAGGACAGTGCATCTTCACTGGTCTCACGATTCGATTACGATTATTCTGTCAACGATTCGATTCGATATCACGATGCATAACAATGCGTTGCATCATACATTTTCTATATTACTGCACATGGCTACTTGTTCATCAATGAATACATGCAGTCAAACAAATATTAACTAAATATTTTCATTATTTAGAAAGTGCATCGGAATACAATAACATAAATGTCTTGACATTAAATGGTAAACCAAAATAAATAAATGGTATTTTGAATTGTTCTATCCTCAAAAACAAAACTAATACTTCTGCAGTCTAGCTGCAGCTTCTAGCAACGGTCTTCTGTTAAAAAAGGACACTGAATGTCCTGAATGTGGCATCACAGACATGACTTGAGTCTGAACACAGCAGACAACAGGAGTCTTTACAACAGCACGTAGGAACAAAAACACTGTATGTGGGCTCAGACTTACGTTCCTCTGTCTTACTGTTACATAAATCCAGTGAATCTGAGATTAAGTCAGCCTCATCACATCTCATCAATCAGAGATCAACATTTTTTTGTGAATAATAACGTTTTTTTAAAAAAAAATTTAGATCAAGTATTTATAATTTGAATTCAGCAATATGTTATTAGTCTGAATGCCAAAACTTTGGAAACCACCTGTCCGGACCCTGCTCTGTTACTATGGTTACCGTCAGCCTGTCACTCATTTTATTCAGGGAGGGTAGGGCGGTGAGGAAACAGTGATCACTGAAGTTTTGCTCCTGCCTTCACAAACTTTACACAAGTATTTATCGTCTGAATATAGCGATAAGACGTTCATACTCTGCAATCCAAGACTTCATTTTTGAATCCACCAAAAGCTGACATGACAGTAACGCATGTTTTTCTAAGAAACAACTCTGTGCACAGCCGCAGTGACACAGACTGATTCAGAGCGGGTCATTCTGCCTGTTGGTTCTTTGTATTTCTCTGTTATAGACCACACATACATATAGTCCAGGGCTGGCCACTTTGGAGTTCAGCTTGGAGTGAGATGACAATATTAGTTTTTGGTACACTGATTCATTTTCATGCTATTAACTGTGTACTGCACGTCTTTCCATTAGTCTCTACTCTTTTCAGTGAAAATATTATATTTTCTACAGTTGATATGTGTCTATTAACTGTTAATGCTTATCTTTACAGTTTCATGTATTTTAATTACACTTAAGACTTATACCTGTTTACATCCTACTATCTCGCCACTATAGCCTGTTGTGAATAAAGTTTAATTTCATTTACTCCCGGTCTCTGTGGCCTGAAATCCTTAAAGCTCCTCCAGAGAGCCTCCTCTCTCTCCCCTCTACATCAGTGTACCCTCGGTTATAGCTCCCCCAGAGACTCCTTTCTCCTCTCTCCTCTAAATCAGTGTATCCTCGGTTACATTACATTACATGTCACTTGTTAGACGCTTTTATCCAAAGTGACTTACATACTCAATACTGAGGGCAATGCCCACAGGGGTCATTTGTCTTGCCCAGGGACACACCGACATGCTGACTGCAGTGGGGTTTTAACCTGTGACCCCTTGATCCGAACACCAACGCACAACCCACTGCACCACATGCCGCAGTTACTGCTCCTCCAGACAGCCGTGATAATCGATCCTCGGCGAGCCTTGAGAGAAATTTGATTTCCTTCGAGGTGGCGCACCCACATCCGTTTCCGGGGGTCGCTGCCGGAGGACCGAGGAGTCCAGGGGTCCTTCTCAGGTCGATTATTTTCATTTTTAGATTTGGTTACCAAAGTCTTAGGATCACAAAGGCAGTGAAATATTTGAATTACACTGTATGTGTATGTATGTGTGTATGTGTTATTCATGTCTAAAATTAAATTCGAATTTTGAGTAAAATAGGCGTTTATCACTCTACTTTCACCACAGCAGGGACTGAGATACATTAGGACTAAATAATGACTTCATATCACATACCAAGGTTCATGTGATGTGTACAAATTGAGCATTCAACCTTTTTTTTTCAACCAACAATTTATTATAAATATGTTTTTTTCAACCAACTATTTATATAAATATAAGAAACTGGAAAATCTAACTATTTACAATATTGAACATCAGAACTTTCAACCAACTATTCATTATAAATGTCAAGACAGTGTCAAGGTCTTTGTCTGTCTTCCAAGACAGTGGGTCTGGCTGCTGTGAAGATGGGGGTGATGGTGCATGGGCTGCTGTGTAGGTGTGGGGTACAAGTGCTCATTTCATTTATTTTCAAACCTTTATTTATACAGATAAATCCCATTGAGATCATTGATCTCTTTTTCAAGGGAGACCTGCTCAAGTAGTTCCACATGAAACATAAAAACATAAATAGAACAACAAAAGGACATCATACAGCATCATTTACATAATTATCCACATAAACAGGTACCAATAGCTTCCGATTGAGTAGCATCCAACCGAGCTTTAAAAACATTTAGTGGCACCAGATTGTTCAGTTTCCATTTAATTTGCAGACTATTCCAAGACAGAGGAGCTGGGCTATACGAGACCTCCACGAGACCTCCTTGCTGGCTGGGTTGAAGGTGATGGCTGTGGTGGAGCCTTTGTGCTGAGGTGTATCTTGACCTGGTGGCAGCCGCAGATGGAGGTGGAGGCAGCTGTAGTGATGCTGGTCTGCTGGTCCTTGGTGGTGATGGCTCTGGTGAAGGCCCTTGAGCCACAGTAGATCTTGACCTGGGGGCCGGCACAGATGGATGTTCTGGCTGCTGGATAAACGCCGCCTGTGGGCCACTAGGCCCAGGCAGCTGTGAAACCTCTCTGTAAAACAAATTAAAATGTAGGACAATAATTACAACTAAGTTCATTGAAATAAAGTTCAAGTAAAATGTTGCTCAAGCACAAATAACAATGCACACATAAAAGAAAA